ATAGCTGTTTTAATCCTATGTATCAGGAATGCTGGGCAGCTGAATAGCTGGCAGAAAGACATGTACAGTCCATTATAGAGAGAAACTGTATCAAAAGAATACTATTACTATTAATCATCATCATAACCATTATACACATATAACCCAGGGTCCTGAAGCGCGGATGATCATTTGTAAATGAATATAGAAATATATTTTTAAAAGATGCAGGCGCGCTGTCAATTTTATATAATAACTAGCGAACCCGGCCACGCGTTGCTGTGGCTAAGTTGTAATATGTTAAATTAATATTATACTAAACTATTCAGTACAGTAAAGTTAATATTCACTTATAAAGATAAAATGTTTTAGCCGATCTAAAGCCCTACGGGATTGAGAATGGAACGTTACTTTAAAATTTGAAAGTGATTTTTATATATATAGATAATATAGCCCTTTATAATCACTGCATTAATAAATGTCAGTGAACTTGTTTATATGTATTGTTTTTTGTTTTTGAGATATTCTAATAGAACGTTCTCACAATTTTTGTAAAATATTTATATACGCACAAACACAGAATTAAAAATATGTCTTAAAATTTGCTATAATTATTGTTATAAATATTATTTTAAAATAATTCGCCAGAAATCGTCCCGGTAGTATACTAAACAACTTCCCAAAGTTTCATGGCAAACATCTAAAATAAAATAATACTTTTAATACTTTGCTACAAAATTAAAAAGAGGGGTGCTTAGGTGTTTAAAATGTTAAATGTGCTCTAAATAGTATTACATAGAGCCTCCATAACAAACATATTTAAAATAACCAATTAAAATATAATAATGCTGTAAAAAAAAGACTTTGCTACAATAATATAAAGAAATGAAAATAAAAAAAGACACCCACGCTGAGCTTCGAACCTAGGTTTGTTATAAATATTATTTAAAAATTGTTTATGTTAATCTTTTATTTTAAAAAGCCTACATTTTAAATAAAATAATATTTTTAATAATTTGCTACAATAATATAAAAGAAATGAAAAAAAAAAAAACCCACGCTGAGCTTCGAACCTAGTTTGTGGGGGTACGAAGCTGTGTACCTAACTTATAGGCTAAGCTTGACGTTACAAATACGCTCATGCGAGGCAATTTCAGGCCATACGCCTACCGCGAGGGGGCGCTGATTGCGAGTGAATTTACGCTTTATTGTAAATAAAAATGCAACGAAAGGTTATTTCTAAAGAGTAATTAGCCAGAAACTATCCCGGTAGTATACTAAACAACTTCCCAAAGTTTCATCACGATCGGTTGAGCGATGTAGAAGATTATCACTTACGGACGGACCAACAAATATTCATTTTTATATATATAGATAATAATTATTATTGAGCAAGATAGGCGAAATAAATATTTTGAGCAAGATTTGCAAAGCTTTTATATGCCTTGAATGTACATATTTATTACGAAATTGTAGTGATATCCCCATTAATACTTATGTGAATATATTAAAGACACTTTATAAATGAGTATATTGCAAGCCCTTTTTTATATATTATTTTTAGGCATTATTATTATTTTGGTGCTATAAAAACATGTTATATTTTACTATAACAAATGTCCATATTCTCATTTTAATCCTGTTATCTCTCTCTCGGCAATACCCCATTCCTGTTTATTTAATTTATTAAGTTGTAAATTCATTTATTTTATGTGTGTTGCGCTGGCTTATCATATAAGACAAGAAAGCGGTTCCTATTCACAAGTATATTGTTTTACTTACTTGTATATTGTCCTTACACAATGTGTGTGTTGTGATTCTTATATCTTTAATAATTTGTTTTTGCTATAATTTTGGACAAAAATGAATATAAAACTGCTCTTGAAGTATGACAGTTTTCAATCATTTCACTTGTTTTTGAAAAAGGTATAGTGAAAAAAGGATTCTAAATAAAAGCATAAAGCTAACTTAAGGTTTATAAAAAGAGTCATAGGGAAAGTATACATATTCCTAAAGTTGTAGAGAGTAGGATTAGGTTTAAAGGTATATTTTTGCGAATAGTTTAATAATTTTTTATTGACATCAGATATATATATATATATATATATATGTGTGTGTGTGTAATATTGTTGAAAATGTGATCCTGCCGACGCGCGCGCGTATGGATAAGCTGGCAGTCGTGTACGTGAGGGGAGTGTTGATGTTCTTCCTACACGCGGACAACAAGAAGCAGAGGCAGAGCTAGGTGTTAGCATCGAGAGTGATCGGGGACAGCCCACGGGACAGAGATAGAAACCATGACACAAACTTGGATGCTTTTCCCCGAGACCTGGAGGGAGAGACTGTGTGACAGAAGCCGTCTGTCGATGGCCACACCCTAGAACATCTGCTGACCCCCTGCCAAAACCTGTCCTGTTTTCAGGGGTCGTCTATAAAGAGTCGCTGGGAGCCCCACATGAGCTTTGGCATTTTCCTTCTCTCTGTTCCTGCCACCAGCTGACAGAACACTCTTTGGATATTCATTTTGACGTCAACATTTTTAGTTTTACATACAAATAGGAGTTTATGGGTATTATCAATAAAGATATAGCATATATACAAATATGGGGGTGGTATCAAATAGAAACGGTGTGCATTTTAAAAGAAGGATAGAATCCTTTAAGGTATCGGCTCTAGCTAATTGGAAGATATGTGACATATACTAAAAGTGTCATACAGTTTAAAATATACCATATATATCGATTAAAATATACACATTAAAACATATAAACATACCAGAGAGAGAGAGAGAGAGAGAATACGTTATATGGAAAATTTACTTAAAATTTAAATCGCAAAACTGACAAAAATATTTTGATTTTATAGAAAAAATTAGATAAACGAAAATGAACAAAAATATTTATTTCTAGCCGAGTGACCCAGGCAATGCCCCGGGTTTGCCCGAAGGCACATTAAGAGCAAAGATAGTGTTTTAAAAATCAATTGCAATGGGTATATTATGATTTCCTAGAAGCAGCGTTTCAAGTAAGGTTAAAATGATTTCTAAGGGCAGGTTCGATACATTCGGGAAGATACGCACACGGATAAATCCTAGGCATTCAAAATATATTTTTAATGAACATTTTGATAAGTAATTCTAATTAGAAGCATTTCACGATGTAATGTTTTGTTACGTTGTAATGTTAATGTTTTGTTTCATTTATATATTAAAATTTGAATGTGATAAAATATCCAAAACAAGCATATATTAAAAGCATATGAGACATCACAGTGAAAAATTTGGAAAATTAATGTATAGAGCCGTGGACAATAAGAAAACAAAAATATCAAAATCTCAAATATAGCTATGTATAGTTCAATATTAGAAGTAAACGAAAAAATTGCGCTACAAATTTTAAAATAAAACTACAACCTTTAATACAATAGTTCAATATCTTTCTGGAGGAGAGATTTCTTAAAACTTTACAACTAAATACTCTATATGGATATGTCTGATGATATTGGAATCAGAATAAAATATAATTAATTATATAATTATATAAATATATATTAATATCATCCTAAAATACCCTATTAAAATAATAACAATTCTAGCTTACAATCAAATAAAATATATAATACTCCAGGGTTCTTAAGGTTTGCAATTATTTTTTTCAGGCAAATTATCATTTAAAAGACCTTTCTATGTTTTCTTGATGACCCTTATATATTCTATTAATGCAACACATGCAAATATTATCAAAATAAATAAAATAGTCGGTGATAATAATCATATTAATGAGTTTTTATGATTCGATTTCACTTAAGATCACATATAATTCCTGCTAAATATAACAAGTCTTTTGAATTTAAACACTCAAAAGAAAACCTTTTTTTTTTCAATAAATTGTCCTGGAATAATATTTCAACACCTTTAAATAATAGAATAAAATATTTATTCCTAAAATATATTCTGAGATGGTTTCAACTATCAACTGGTTCACAAATAAAGGCACAGAATGTGAAATAAGGTAAATAATAGACTTAATGAAACTAAATGAAATGTATTATGTATGTATATAATTTCAGGAATTAAAATATTATATTGAAGTTTGTATAAAATGATAAATAAAAATACATTTTAAAAGCTTTTATATGAATGCACTAAAAAAGAAAATATTTAAAATATTTTATCGTTGTGAAATTAGATGTATATGAGTGAAAATAAAATCGGCGGGGAACCTATTTGAATTTCAAACCTAGTGTGATTTGATATGTAGCAACTGGTTAGAGATTTTTTATAAGTGTAAAACGAAAATTGCAATTATACGCGAATGTTTCTTTTAAACAAAAATCGAAATTTATTTTTAAAGAGAAATAACGACTATTTCTAACTTTAAGGATGAAGTATGAAAGGGTGAAAATATGAAGAGTAATGGCGAACGGAAAAATAAAAAGTGTCCAGGGGCGGGAATCGAACCCACGACCTTCCGCTTACCAGGCAGATGCCATGTCCACTAGGCTACCCTGGATATATTTTTCCGTTCGTAAATATTATATAAAGTAATTTAAAATACAATATAACGCGGCTGATGATTGTAAAACGAAAATTGCAATTATACCGCGAATGTTTCTTTTAAACAAAAATCGAAATTATTTTTAAAGAGAAATAACGACTATTTCTAACTTTAAGGATGAAGTATGAAAGGGTGAAAATATGAAGAGTAATGGCGAACGGAAAAATAAAAGTGTCCAGGGGCGGGAATCGAACCCACGACCTTCCGCTTACCGGGCAGATGCCATGTCCACTAGGCTACCCTGGACATATTTTTCCGTTCGTAAATATTATATAAAGTAATTTAAAATACAATATAACGCGGCTGATGATTGTAAAACGAAAATTGCAATGATACCGCGAATGTTTCTTTTAAACAAAAATCGAAATTTATTTTTAAAGAGAAATAACGACTATTTCTAACTTTAAGGATGAAGTATGAAAGGGTGAAAATATGAAGAGTAATGGCGAACGGAAAAATAAAAGTGTCCAGGGGCGGGAATCGAACCCACGACCCTTCCGCTTACCGGGCAGATGCCATGTCCACTAGGCTACCCTGGACATATTTTTCCGATTCCCGCCCTGGACACTTTTATTTTTCCGTTCGCCATTACTCTTCATATTTTCACCCTTTCATACTTCATCCTTAAGTTAGAAATAGTCGTTATTTCTCTTTAAAAATAAATTTCGATTTTTGTTTAAAAGAAACATTCGTGGTATAATTGCAATTTTCGTTTTACAATCATCAGCCGCGTTATATTGTATTTTTTATAAGTGTTTACTATATTTTTACCTCTTCTCTAAATATGATCGTCCCCCTAGATATTATAGTGAAGCCCTCGCCTTGTCTGGATAAAATATAGGGAAATGCCTTTCTTTAAATTCCCTCCTTACGTCACCGAAGTCCCTACTTTATGGATTTGTCTTTCCGAGGCATTCATTCTCTTTTGATGTCTCAAATAAATCAATAATCTTTTCTCCATTTATTTCGGAATCTCTCTCCAGTCCTCTACAGAAAAATTTGGGAGTTCACCCCTGTGAGGAATTAGGAACAAAACGTGAAAATGGAGATCCAACTATTAATTTTGGTGTTCTTTTTCTTCTCAACTTCTGTCATTTCTTCTGTCATGGGGGAGCGACAGTGCTAGGGGATATGACCGAGGGGTTCAAGAAATCTAAAAGTTTGGTGAGCAGTTCGACGGCGAGTAGTCTAGTGACGAGAGAGTTCGACAGAGAAAAGGTCTCTCGACAAGAAGGTGCCTGAATTTCCCGGAGGGCGAAAAATCCAAGTTGATAGCAGCTGTTGGTCTGAAGGCGAGAAATACCCTGAATCTTACCAGGTCGGGTTACTGACAGCTCTGCGGAAGTGGACACCAGAGCGAGTGTGTGGATTAACCGATGGTGCCAAGGATTAAGTCGGCCGTTAACAAGGATCTTTCTGGTAACGTACTTTGAAGGGAATTGAGCTTGTATGAGTTATGCCTATCTTTTTTTCCCTAGAATTTAGATAGAAGATAAAATTTGCCTGGCCGGCATCGATGTCCCTTGTAAAAAGAATAATTGAAAGATACAAGGATCTATTTGTTCTTCTACGAGGCTCATTCTTTTCTGAAATAAAAAAGTTAGAACACCGTGCAATTAATAAATTACTCTAATTAAGGATGTGTTTTAAATTTAAAACAAAATCCATTGTAATTTATTCAAATTTTAAGAAATATTATATTTAAAGAATTTAATTAAATATAAAATTCCAGTAAACGAGATGAAACATTTCCTTTTCAATTCACTTCAGATATTTTATAAAATGTAAACCAGAAACTCACAGCATCGATATCATGTTACACTCAGAACATTTTACTGAATTAATTAATTTCTTCTTCATATAACAGTGCTGATATGCTCACAAGTTTGTTTGCAATATATAACTTTATTAATAATACCTGAAAAACAAATTGAAATATCTTTCAGATAATTAATAAAAATGTAGTGTATTGCTCGAAATTGAAATATGGCGTGATTATCTTGAAGAAGGGATCAAAGTTTTCGGCGACGAGTTTCTATTATTTGTGCGGTATAATTGGCAAGCCTTTTCGGACTATGATTTAATCTTTAAAAGAATGTCGAGGCGCTGAGTGATATCATTTAAATTTGAGAAATCTTACTACACTGTATTCCAATGATAGGTCTGTTAGATCGGCGAAGAACAGGGTTTTCAAGTCTATATAGCCAGGACTCGAGACACCTACTGCTGAAATGCTCACTCTTCTTTATCGCTAGACAACAGATAGTAAATAATGAAAGTAAAGAAGGTTGGAATCCTCTAAAGAATGTAAGTAATAGATTTTAAGGCGTACGAGGATACGTTTCTTATAAGTTTTAATAAAGGCGAGCTTTCGGGTCAATAACCCTTCTACAGGACATCATATTAAATAAACTTGCATCTTATATATATATCCATATTGAGAAAATATGGATATATATATAAGATGCAAGTTTATTTAATATGATGTCCTGTAGAAGGGTTATTGATCCGAAAGCTCGCCTTTATTAAAACTTATAAGAAACGCATCCTCGTACGCCTTAAAATCTATTACTTAGATAGTAAATAATGTTGTAGATCTATATGAATTTGTAAATACTAGAGATAATTATCACAGATTTAACTATTTTTGTAAATATATTTATAATTATCTTTCTAACCTGAAAGGTTCAGGTTCCTAATATATATTATTGTTTCTCTTTTTTATTTTAAATTATCTTTTCTTGTATAATATGTTTATAACTGTTTTTGTTTAAAAATGTAAATCGACGCAATTATCTCTAGTCGGAATATCGCGCTTTGTGTGTTGAAATAAAATAAAATGAGTTTTCTTGAACAAAGAAAACATCTGAAGAAATCTGACATAAATGAGTCAGGCCCTCCTAGTTAAATAGCATAGCGAGTAGCAGCACGTGTTAGGATACAGATTCATTAAGTAAAATGAAAAGATTTAAATGCACGAATGTTTATTTTATACACAATACAAATTTCTACTGTCCTTACTGCGATGAAAAAATATATTGGGAAGGCTTGGCTCATCAGTGGTGAACATTCCCAGCGGTTTCGCTAATTTAATCCACCAGACCGCTTCTCAGAGCTCTAATACTGTATTGGACGATTCTGCTTATATACGCAGCACTGAAGGGTGGAATTTCAGAAATGGTTTTCAAGAAGTTTTCATTAAGTACCTTAACCAACAAATTTTTATTCTTTCCCTGATATAGACTCGAACACAAGGACATACCCAAACGATGTGACTAACAACTATACAAATTCTCCCATAAGAACTTGGAAGAAGGATTTCTCACACCATTGGTACTGTGGTTCCATTCCTGGAGAGACACACCAACCTAGATAGACATGACAATCATTTCCTGCCTAAAAACAGGCCACACAAGGAAAATATTATTTTAAGGCAAAATCAGACACTTCCCAAACTGCACAAAATGTCTGGCTTGTGAGACATTCCCGGAACACATCCTGCAGTGCTGTGGACTAAAAAAACAAGATATCTACAACAGCATGTCATCAATATACTAGGAGGTCTGTGTGAGTTGGTTTAAGCAATCAACTGATGGATACAAAAATAAAAATAAAAACAAAAACAATTCTACTTTCTAGTGCCGGGTGTAATGCAGGTTAACCTACAATCATATTAGATGCATGGAAAGGTGTCGAAACCGATAAAAAAGCTTCAACAGGAAGAGCCAATATATTTTTCATCGCAGAGTAAAGGTAGTAGAAATTTGTTATATTTATTAAAAAAATCATCCCAAATAGGATAGTGTCTTGTATCAGGAAAAGTAAATTGATTGTTTTTTTTATATGGTTAGGAGGTCTGACTAGAATTTGATTTTCCTTATTTATATTGTCAAATAGCTCTGCAACTATAGCCACAGGAAGCTCCATGGGACACCTGTCAATCATCACTGGACTCCGGGGGGACGACCACAGGTGTGAGGAGTTCTCGGAATCTTATCAGCAAATAAGGAAAACGGAACGCCTCGGTGGCTGACCACTCTCATTATTATTATTTTTACCTTGGGATAAGTTGTTATCTCTCTCCCTATAAATACCTCTTGTATATAATTTTATTGGAGAACTAAAAGGTAAATACCCACCTTTATAATAAATTAATTATCCCCAAATTTGCCCTTGCTTTATTTATCTCCGCGACAATATCAATCGATGTAAGAATATTCAATATAACATTCTATATTAGAGGGATAACCACATATATGATATAGAGATGGATGGATCACTACATTGAACCCATACATTTAATTGTCTTCCATCTTCCATAAAACCCGCTCCCACCTCGTAAATTGACATAGATTTCTTCAACGCGCCCAGCGGCTACCTCATAAAACCTGAAGATGTGAAAAATAAAACTTTTTTATTTTTTATTGAAAACGATAACAAAAAGTACAATTAACTAGATAAACTTGAAGATATACGTTGCCTCTGGCTCACATTCATATTTCTTTAAAAAAAATAGATAAACTTCTAAAAAAAAGTAAATGGTCCCATCACAAATTTGGTATACTAATATAATTTATAATATAAAAAAACACCTGACGCACTTATATTTTATTTTTCTTCTGTTTTTCATGTGTAAAGCGTATTTACGCAAATTTGGCCTTAATACCCATTTCTTGGTTTCTCAAGATGCCTCTGGGACCAAAACTCTTTTTAGTCGCAGTGGTACAGCCTACTCCACGCTGACGAGCGCCAACAGGGCGAAACGCGTTCGTGGATGGCTTTTCTTGATTTATCAAGAAAATAGGTTGGCCAAATATCACGGAGCAAGTTAAATAAACGTTTAGTTAATTTTTGCTCCACTAGATGGCGTTTGCCATCTAAAGAGCACATATGCTCGTGGTCAGGAAACGCCTTCTTTATTTTTAATATAATTTTATTTGAAAACTACCAAAGGAAAAATAAACTTTTGTAGGTGTTTCTAATTTAGGGCCTACTCCCTATCTATCAACTTATTAAGAATTACAGCCAGGAAAAACACACTTTGTTTATTTAGAAAAGTTTGGAACAAAAAGCACACGCTTCCATTCACACGTGCCAGCCAGCGAGCTGTCTTTTTAATTCTTTTCTCCGAGGCCAACAATACAAATATATACGCATAACTATAAAAATCTGCATATGTCCATATCTGAAATGGAATAATTATAAATAAGACTTGAAAATATTTACAGGAGTCTATGACCACTGTGACAACTTTCATTTCACAAGTATTATAATATATAAAATTTACACACACAAAGCTTTTATTAATACACCAGTCATATACAGATTCTCCTCTCTCATTGCCGGCTTGTAGCGATATCCTCACGACTGGATTTTAATGGTTTGTTATTTTATCAATATTTGTTATTTCGAGAACAAGTAGAGTTATTTTCCTTTTCAGAAATCTTGGAAAATACGAAGCACGTTCATCTCTTTTAGTAATTAAGAAAAGCCAGGTTTTTAATCAAAATTTTTGAATTGATGATGAATCGTTTGGATA